CCCCCCCATCCCCTCCTCCAAAAGGGTAAGTCCTCCCATGAGGGGACAGCAAAGCCTGGTACATTCAGGTGAGAGAAGATTAAGCCTCACCCCCTGGGGAAGTCTACAGAGACAACTGAACCAAGCTCCTAGGAACTCAGGAACTTTAAACGGACAGCAATGGCGGTGGAACCTGCATGGGACCGGACTAGACCCTCTGCAAACGTAGCTGGGTCTGTTTGAGGGGCCCCTGGCAGTGTGACCAGGATCTATCCCTGGTTCTTGAGCTAGCTTTCTGGATCCCATTACCTATGGCCAGGATTCTTTTATAAACAGAAAAAATACTGCCAACCAGAGACTAAAACTCAACTATGGGATTAAGAGGAGAAATCCAACATCACAGCTTCAGTTCACTTCATTACACCCGCCCCTCTGAGTTCAAGGGAAGCGGCCAATTACAGAGAAACATGCAGGAAGAAAGCCTAGAGATGTCTTCAGAGTTTAAACTTTGACTCCAGAGTGCTCTCTGCACACGTGTGCATACATCCACAGCACATGGATGTCCCTAGGACCTTGCTCTAGAACCTCCAGCCAAGTGTTCCCATATGCTCAGCCCAGGGCTCCCATGCCATGAACAGCCATTCAGAGCCTTATTAAACACTAAGGACACGGACCTTGGGGACGGAAATGCATCCTTCCTTGTAAAGTTAGCTGGCAGTTGCTCTCAGCATAATACCTGGGACACCCAGTGAAGAGGAAAGGAGGTGTCAAAGTCATGCTTTTCTGCAGACTTCAAAGGTCGCCCCTCCCCCCTCTTTACATTTTACTGTCTGGGGAGCTGACTGGTCCGCAGCTGTCGGCAGGGACTGTGTCCCTCTGTCAAACCTGCCTCTTCCTGGGCCCATAAAACTACAGCAGGAAAGTGACTACAGGTGTGGAAGGAGTGTCCCAGTGATGTCCCCAACACCTCTGGGAGCTGCTCAAGGCAGAGGGCCAGGCCAAGGGAGGTGGGGGAGGTGCTGTGCACACACACCACCTACCTATGTGCTGGGTTCAACCTCGTGCCACAGCTGGAATGAGGTGAAGGCTCTGCCCCCCACATCCCCACTCCCCAGCACAGAGAGCCCCGTGTGCTCCTCCCAGGAGAAGTCCTGTGCATGCAAGCTCTCTGAGCTAAAGACCACTGGAAGCAGAGCACCTCAGACGTTTCATGATCCAGGTGCAGGGATGCCATGCAGAGCCAGCATGGGTACAAAATGCTTGGAGAGCCAGCTGAGAGCCATTGGGCTGGATTTGCATTCCTCACCCAAGAGAGATGAGCTGAGGGTAATGATACACATTAGTAATGCCAGCACTTGGGGGACTAAAAGGAAGAACTGGAGTTCCAAGCTAGCCTGGACTACACAGTGAGAGAGACAGGGTAGGGTGTTAAAAATCAAATGTTCATGTTTCCCAAGACATCAGGATTTTTTGAGGTTTTTTTTGTTTTTTGTTTTTTTTTTTGCCATTCACGTAAAAACGTATTTTTTTTCAATAAAGAGAAATTGGTAATTATGAAATACCCATGAGCCTACTGATAGAAAGCCTAGGTGAATTCTTGATCACTATATGTTACTTCTTTGTACCAATGTCTTGAAGCAAAAGAGGGGGGGAACAGATTTATTTAAAGCAATCTTAAAGGATTCACGTTGGTTTTCTTAGGCAGGTCAAGAAATAAATGTGTTTACTTTTTGTATAAATTTTTAATTTTTTTGAGAATTTCACACGAATGCACCGTGTTTGTGTCATTTCCACCCTGCTGTCCCCCTGCTCTAACTTTTCTCTCCTGCTCTGTTGCCTGATGGTCTCTTATTTTATGCTCACTATTGTTACACACACGCACACACAGCTTCCTGCGTGTGTTTTGTTTTGCTGTATGTACACGTGACAAACACACTTCTGTGTGGATGCTCCGGATCTGAGCTACGGCCCCGCCCCGTGCTTTATCCCACAGCAAGCGCTGTATCCAGTGAGCTGCTGCTGCCCGGCCTTGACTGGCTGCATCATTTCATCAGCCACATGACATTTTTTAATAAGAAATAAGTCTGTTGGCCATTTCACCAAGGTTCCGATTCTTACCCAGACACTTCACATGGTCAGAACAAACACATTTTGGATCATCTGAATCCCACCCCACCCCCAACACACACACCCTCACACTCCTGCTCTGTAGACCAGGCTGGCCTCAAATTCAGAGATCTGCCTGTCTCTGCCTCCTGGGTGTTGGAACTAAAGGTGTGTGCCAGCATGCCTGGTGGATCACCTGAATTCTCAGGGTTCATGGTTTCTAACTCTAGGGAGCCACAAAGCTATTTTCCCTTGGGGACAGGCTACTTTTCAGCAAAAACTAATGACATGTCCGTCTGACACTAAAACCATAGTCACAGCTTATTCATTGCAACTACATGGCTTAAGCAAAATTTCAAATTACATCATTACCTTCCAGGAGCCACCTATTCCTGCTGAGAAGCCTATACTCCAGCCTTTCATCATTGGGGACAATTGGCCATTGGAATTTTGAGAATTTTTCCTTTATACATATTACTGTTGTGGAATATTATTTTTAAGATGTGTTACATATGTTTATAGTGTGGGATATTTGTTTAATGAGGCAGAGATGTGTTGCTTTCTTTTATGTTGCATTTGTTTAATTCTGTGAAGCTGTGTTACTGTGCCTGTCTGAAACACCTGATTGGTCTAATAAAGAGCTGAACGGCCAATAGCAAGGCAGGAGAAAGGATAGGCGGGGCTGGCAGGAAGAGAGAATACATAGAAGAAACAATCTGGGAAAAAGAGAAGAAAGAGCAAGAGAACAAGGAGAGGAAGATGCTGGGGCCAGCCACTCAGCCACACAACCAGCCACAGAGTAAGAGTGAAAGTAAGATTTACAGAAGTAAGAAAAGGAATAAGCCCAGAGGCAAAAGGTAGACAGGATAATTTAAGAAGAGCTGGCAAGAACAAGCCAAGCTAAGGCCAGGCATTCATAAGAAAGAATATGCCTCCATGTGTGATTTATTTAGGAGCTGAGGGGGTGGACAAAAGAGCAGAAACAAACAACATTTTACATTAGCTTGAAGAGCATTGGGAGTGAGTGGAAAGTCACACATTTTTGTGAAATTAAGGAAAAGTTATCGGCCTCTATTTATGCAAAAGCAGAGAATCTAAAAGGAAAGAAAACCAAACATGAAGGAACTTATTTGAGGCACTTCCTGGTGTTTTCCAATATATTTATTTATTTTATGTATGACTGCTCTATCTGCATGGACACCTCCAGGCCAGAAGAGGGCATTAGACCCACTGTAAGTGATTGTGAGCCACCATGTGGTTGCTGGGAATTGAACTCAGGAAGAGCAGCCAGTGCTCTTAACCGCTGAGCCATCTCTCCAGTTCAGATCTTCCTGGTTTTGTTGATCATGTAGTCACTGAATACAAACGTAACAAAAACATAGTTCCCTGAGACCAGATGAAGTGTGATCCTGGCTGAAAACAGAACACTAGCACTAAAAGCCATAGTCCCATTTGGCTTCTGTCTTTGGAGGTCATTAGTGCCATTTGTACTATGAAGGACTATGGCACATCTCAGAGTTCTGGGATCCAACAGGGACCAGCATGGAGGTGCACAATGTAATAGACCTGAGGGTCTGAGTCTGGGCATTTTGTCTACTACAATTAGGTGATTGCCTGTAAAACCCCAAGTGCAGCTGTGAGGGATGGAGAGCAGACAGCTGGTTCCAAATCTGAGTGACTGTGAGCAGATCTTAAAGCAACAACTGCCCCACGTCCCCACAAAGCTGGTGTTTCCTGTCCCTTGGCACAGACCTGACTGGAACAAATCTCTGCAGCCGCGGTGGGTTCTGTTGAGTTGCAAGGTTTGGAAAGAGATGTGCTTTCAGACACAAGGTCTGTTTGCTCGTGACATTGCTGGATGGA